GGTTTCAGGGGGCGGGGGGGTGGCGGGTTTTCAGGGGTGTTGGGTGGTTGTTGGTAGGGGTGGGTTTTTGGGGTGGTGGGTGGTGGATTGTAAAGGGTTTGGGGGTAGGTTTTCAATGAGGTTGTGTGGTTGTTGGCGGGGGTGAGTTTTTGGGGTGGTGGATGGTGGATTGCAAAGGGTTTAAGGGTTTTCGGTGGGTTTAGGTGGTTGCTAGTGGAGGTGGGTGGTGGACTGCAGGGGGTTTAGGTGGTTGCTGGTGGTGGGTTTAGGTGGTGTTGGATGGTAGATTTTGGGTAAAATATCAAACATGTTTTTTATTTTTGTTTTCATAATTTTTTAAATATAAAAAACTATCAAGCATGTTTTATATTTTTAATTTTTATCATAGAAAAACAAAACCTAGTTTCATTTTTTTATAAAAAAAAACATAAAAACAAAAACGTTACTAAATGCACCTATAATAAAGCCAGAAAATGAATTAATTGCTAGTGGCCACACCAACAAAGAGGTATTTTATTCACTCTATGAAGATAGGTTTGTAGCCAGATCTTTGACAGGATAGTGTATTAAACAATCCATCCTATTATTAAGTGAAAATCATATATAATTTGATCCATGATAGAAATGAGACCTAAAATTAGACCAATATGATTTTTGCATTTAAACAGATATAGAACTACTTACTAGTTTCTATATTTACAAGAGATCCAAAAATATGTAAACCTAATATTATCCGATCTAGATTATATATTCTTGATATGAGATCTCATCAGAAGTTAGACACTGATCAAGAGTCTCATAGGAAAGACGAAAAAAATCAGAAAAAACATCAGCGGGAACAGTTCTTCTTACTACGAACAGAAAAGATGTAGAAGAAGAAATTTTTGTGACCACTTTTTTCCTTATGAATTGAAAAGCAGAAAATGGGGAAATTGACTGAGAGGGCCCAATGCCAGAAGAGCATCTGTGGACTGGGCTTCAAGAGAAGCAGTAGAAGCAAAAAAGTTGGTGATCTAAGTATTTCAGAAAAGACCCCTCTAGAACCTGAACTACCAATCTTATATGATGATGCAACCATCTCAATTACTTGAATGGCACAAACAGCTACCTGTTTTGCAACAAGTTTCACAGTTTTAGTTTGGCAGCGTTGAATATTCATTGCAGATTTCCAAATCTAAGATTGATGTGTTTGACTATATAATACAAGAGACCTTTTGGACACTCGTTTGTCCAATTTATGGTAAGGAAAGCCTGTATGATACAATCATCTGCAACTACCAGACTTTTTTCTTTTCTTTTATTTTGTTGGGCAGGCAAGAGAGCCGGAGGAGGGAGGGTACTGGAACTCATTATAAAGATTAATATGCTTTTCCATTCATGTAGCAAATCAGCAGCACAGAATCACCACTAAGATCAGAGATCCCTAGATATGAAAAAATAATATCAAATTGGAAGTACCAAAATCTCACCTTTAGGAAAAAATTTATCTTCCAAATCCATGTTGTGAAAGCTTAATTAGGACGCTTAAGCCACTCTCCCTGTCACAATCAGTAGATGGGGAGACCTCAGCAGGATCGCACATGTAAATTAAACTAGACAGACAGTCTGATGTCTAAAAGGAATGATCAAAATACAACAATAGTTTAATGCAATAGACTCGTGGAAGGCTAACATTTTCCAAATCCCTATAGAAAAAATGTGTAAACAAATGAATCCTGTTTCATACAAATACAACATCGTTTCACTCTCAGGACAAGAACATAAATGCTTAATGTTGAGAACATACCTAGACCAAGATTCAACAACCAGGTCCAACATTCAATAAAGAGAGGCCATTGGCACACCAATTCCGAAACAACATTAAAAAAAAGACTTAAATCTCCCTCACCATCTCCCCCGAGTTATTTTTTTTAATCTCCGTTAATCGAGGGTGCCACTGGGAGGGATAGACTACATATCGTGAGTACATATTATTCAGATAACTTTTTACTATTACATAAGCATTGCCATTATCAACCGTTCAAACATGAAAACAAAATGCTTACTATCAACATCACAACACACCTAAGAAAAAACCCACCAAAGTAAATCCCAAACAAACACTATACAAGCACATTTACCTTTTTTTTAACGATTAATCACATACCAGTTACCTTACATTGTCTGAATCCAACAACAAAAAATGCACCAAGACTTTTCAACTTTAATAGTATTTACCATATCACATACCTCCAAATTCGATTCAAATCAAACGAAAAACACCACAAAACTCAATGGACAATCAAACGAAGACAAATTATAGGACGTAAAGCCGAAACACTTACAGATCTGAAACCGAATACATTTTAAAACAAACAACATATGTAAATTATTAACCTTAAAGTAAAACAGAAAGAATCTGAGAAAAAGTACCGGCGGCGAGAATGTGAGGAGAGAGTGAGATAGAGATAGAGATAAAGAGAGAGGAATCTAGGGTTTCTCGGAGAGAGACAAACGGAGGGGGGGCTTTGTAGATTCCATCTTTCTGCGAAGGAAAATTTTGTTTGCTATGGAGGTTTTTTAAGGTCGTATGCGAATTTGGTCGATTTCATCACGCACGCTAATTGGAGCTGAAGCAATGGATCCCCACGCACGTGTCAAGCGCGTAATGGAGGCTGAATCTGTTAAAAAGTTAGGAGTAGTTGGTCTGTTGATGCTCAGCTTTAAAAGTACAAGGACCACTTGGCTTCTTTCTGAATAGTCCGTGAGTTTCACGTGCTAATGTCGGGAGTGAAGCAAAGATTGCCAAATTTATGATGCTATTCTCTGTACTACTATTATTTGTTCTTACTTTGCAGGGGTATAGGTTTTTAAGACATGTTTATTTATAATTATGCATTTATAAATAGGGTATGGTCTAATTCATTTTTTTTCTTTTATAGTGGGAGAAATTTTTGACCTGGCTAAGTAGAGGCACACTTGCTAGGTGCGTGAGTCTGACTAGAACTGAGAGTAAATTTCAGGTGTATAAATCAGTCATTTAATTTATACACCAATTAAATTATGACTTGTGTTTAGTGAGAATTTGAACCTATGGACTTAAATATGATTCATTTAAGCAACTGAGATCCATTTTATTAACTAACTACACTTTTATTGTTAAGACGACTTGAACCTTTGATATCAAGAAAGTAAAATATGTACAAAACAATGAATACTGTTAGGTTAAATGGTCATTGATATATGTTCTGATGTTCTATTTCGTGTCTTTTAAATTAAATGGACTTCAGATTCTCTTCAATATTTTTTTTAAAAAAAAATTAACGAATCATCTATCATTAATGAGTTAAGAACTTATTTGTATGTAATAGATTTCACTTGAATGAATGAAAGATAATTCACCAAAAATTAATTAAGGAAAAATATATTGAAAAATTATCTCTTTTTGTTCATTACTCTTACTCTAATTATGTTTGACCAAGAGTTAAAATGTGTCTAGTATGAAATGCATAACATTTAAAAAATTTCTATTTCTTTAATTTTCTCTTTATTTAGGTAACTAGAAACCTCGGGTTCTCACATGGGCATAAATGAGATAAGTCAGTTGGGTTTAAAAAAAAAATTATGTTGGTTTGAAATCTAAATGAGTTTTAAAAAAAGTTTAAATTTTATTAATTTATTTCTCACATTGATCTAAGTTGTCTTTGTAGAAAAAAGTCTCGAGCTCTTTCGAATATTTTTATAGTCATTCGATCTTAATCAATTCATTGGGTCAAGCTCAAAAAATTAACAAGCTTGACAATATTTCTAATATTGACTCATAATACACATTGATATCAAGTGAAATTCTAGTGGCTTGGTTTGTTTTGCAATCCTATGCATTTTCATTTTTTTAAATTCAAATTTTCATAATTTTTTAGATTTAATTTAAGAAAAATTTATTTTTCATAAACATTCTAATCGCGACGTAAATTAGTCGAGATATGTGTAAGCTAGTCTGAAAAAAAAAAACGTGTAAAGATGGCTTAACATTTTTGGTTTTATTTAAAGTATTGTTAATCACTAATTGATTGCTCAACTAGTGATTACTCTAAGTGATGAAGACGGCTTGGTCGTTGAGCCACGCGAAGGAACAAACTACACGCGCCGACTTTGCTTTTTAATCTACTGGTTTTGAAGAATCTTTCACAGGGTTGCCATGTCAAACATGAACTTAGTACTTTAAATACACTTTCTTGCACTTTTATGAGCCAAATGGTATTTGGCTATTGGCTCTGTTTATTGACTAAAACTATACGGACAATCATGGAGGTTTAGTAAAAATTATACTCTCTCTCTCAGATTTTGAATTTTTTTGATAAAATGTTAAAAAATTCCTTGCAATATCAAAAAAATAACGAAAGTTTGAAAAGAGCTTGTAGGGGATAGGTAATAAGAATTATGGGAAATGGGTGTCGTCAAAATTGAAAGATGGTGTGATTGAATAGAAAGAGTAAATTAGGCCAGAATATGAAAAGAGTCAGTCCATTTTCTCATTTTTAATTAGATTTTGGTCAATTTTTGGTCATTTTTTACAAAGTAAAGAGGGTAACATCATAAAATGGGAAAAGCTTAAAATGATAAGAGCTCAACTTCACAAAACAAAAGAGTATTATCATAATTTCCATATATATCAAGGGTTATCAATATAATTATGACTTTAATTGGTGCTATGAATAGATTGGAAGAATCTATTTGATCTTCCAATATGAATGGGTCGATTGTTTCACTCTGATATCTTCCTAAAAGATAAAATAATAATTGAGAATTGTTTTTTGAATTCAAAAGAGAGTACTTGAATTTTTTCAATAACTAAAAAGTGTAATATAGTAGTGAAGAAACTGGATAAAAAAAAAAAAGAGATTTTAGTTGTAAAATATTTAATGAAACCGTGGCTAGATTTAAAATCTTACTTGAAGAGAAAAATATCAAATATCTGAAGTTTCTTTTTATATATTATATGGATGATACGATCTATAAGAACTATGATTGAAAATTATTTTATCGTCTTTCTATGAGAAAGAGACGATATATAATCGCCTTGAATTCAAAACCACTATTCAAAATCTTAGTAAAATACCGGATTTGTTATCTCATACCTGTTTTTCTTGAAAATATACAAATTGTAGTAAAAGATTTCTTCAAATAATAGGGGTTAGATCAACTATTCAATCAAATAATATTCAACATGTCATGAGAGTTGATTGCACGTCTCCATCAACCTATTTTTTCTAACACTGGAAAGCAAGTCGTTGGCCATCCAAGACCCTAGATTCTAAAGCACTCCAAAAAAAAAATGTGCACTTTTTCATTTGATTTAGAGGTAGGATTGAATTCCCAAATTATCAATTTTTCCGAAAAAAATTTATAGATAAAATATTTTTGTATAACAGTTTTCTTGGAGTTGTTGGCCATTAAAAAGAGGGGAAAAAACTAAAATTTTCATATTGTTCTACTTCAAAAAAATGTTACCATTACCAATTAAAGACAAGGAAATCAATACCATTGGCTCCACCTTAGATTTTCATATAATCACTGATATGTACTGTTTCAATTTCAATTCATAAAATACAAATTAATCCCTTCCATGTAGTTTATCTTTCCGTCTATACCGTCCAAGCAGTTTGGATACAACTCAACTTGGTACAGTGGCAAGCTTTTTGGGTAAATGGTACAGTAGTATGTTGACTGAGTGCATACCCCCCCCCCTTTTTTTCCTTCCTTTTTTCCTCCCTTAACACCGCGGGCGGGCCACCACTCCCCAAGCACCGTCACATTTGTACCACCATCCACCAACACCATTATTCAGACCCTCTATACTTGAAACTTAGTAAAATAAATATCACACCTAAAACCACATATGAAGCAGTTTCAACATGGAAAGAGAACATCATATAGAAAACTAAACAGACAAGGGTTCCTGTCCTAAAGTGATCATTTGCAAGACTGTCAAAAAACAGCATCATATAGAAAAACCATTATAGGAGAGAAGCAACAGTAGCACTACATTCGAATCCACGACTAGTAATATCAGTTTTCACTGGCTTTCAGAAATACCAAGCATTAATCATAGCGAACAATTTAATATCAGCTTAGTGATATTACATTAAAAGCACGTTGCTTTCCGGATATTATATTTAACAGAATCAGCATATCATATCTATCATTAAAGAGCTCAGAAGCAATTGAAGTACCAAGTAGCATGAATAAGCAACATTAGGGCAGAAACATGGTCGCAGATATACAATACGAACTGAGGATCA